ATGAGATGTCCTTAATATCTGATCTTTTCTTTCTATTTATCTTTACTAAAACTTGATTAAGTTATCTCCCAAGTAAAACAATAGCATATGACAGACCTTTATCAATGTCCAGATCATCATTTGATATAGGGCTATGCTCTTATTTCTTTTCTCAAACTTGTCACTATTAGCCAATTCAAAGGTTTAAAGAGACCCGGCAAGTTCATTAACTCTCATGGTGTTGATGTCTTGAGCTTCTTCAATTGTTATTACCTTCATGGAGAATCTCCTAGGTAAGGAGCTAAGAATCTTTCTAACAAGATTTTGTTCAGACATCTTTTCTCCCAAGGAGCTTGAGGAATTAGTAATTTCTAGAACCCTCATTTGATATTCATGGACAGTTCCATCCTCATTCATCCTCAGATTCTCAAATATAGTAGTGAGAAGTTGAAGTCTCGACATCTTCACTTTGGAAGTACTTTCATGAGTTGTCTTGAGAATTTTCCAAGCATCCATGGCTATGGTGCAAGTATTAATCAATCTAAAGATATTCTTGTCTACTCCATTTAAAAGAGCATTCAAATCCTTAGAATTTCCAACAGCTAATTTATCATTATCTTCAAACTAGTCTTCCTATGGCTTTAAAGACACATTTCCATCTTTATCTTTCACAATCGAATGATCCCATCCTTTTAAAACAGCCTTTCGGGATTTGTTATCCATGTCTTTTAGAAAAGCAACCATTCTAACCTTCCACCAATCATAATTTGAGCCACGTAGCAGTGGTGGTCTGTTGTTGTGTCCTCCTTCCTTATCTATAGTACTAGAAGATAGTTTCCCTGGAGCTCACCCATTGAATAAAACAGGGTGCCTGCTCTGATGCCAATTGAAATTCTAGCATACACAATATCAAGATTCAAGACTAATGTCTCAACACACAAGCACAATGTCACGACAGGTGTTACAACATCTGCAGACTGACATAACTTTTACCAAAAATAAAAACTATGGAGAATTTAAATGCAGAAGGTAAAAGAACACAAGGAATTGTTAACCCAGTTCAGTATAATTCACCTACTTTGGGGGCTGCCAAGCCATGAACGAAATCCACTATTATTAGTATTAATTCTAAGCCTAAATAGTCCCAGTTTTCAACTTATCACTTAATCACTACCAAGCGCAACTTCTATCTAGGAACCTCCTAGATATGAGAAATTTCCATCTGACTTCCAATCACCGTAGTGATATCTATAGTCACAATCCAAGTGAATAGAAACTACAACCATAATCCCAGTGACTAGAAACTACAACTGAAGATCACACTTCAATTAGAAAAACTCAAACTCTCTTGTTTACAAGCTTCAAGAGTGAGACACTAACTTGATAGACTATCAAGTAACAATCAGTCAACTTAACTATATCAGAAGATACATGAAGACATACAAAGAAAAAAATAGAATCCCCTTAAAGAACCCTCAAATCATAAGACTAAGAAAAATCGGCTTCCCCTTATTTTTTACAAATTTCTTAATGAATTTAGATCTAGGTAGTTTCTTTAAATACTCTTCAGCAATCCTAGGGCATTGAATTTGCGCCCAGATATTCCTTGTTCCACACTTTGAGAGTTGCGCCAATTTGTGCAAAAATATCTCCTTACATCTTGGAACAAAACACCAGGTTTCCTAAATTGTCTCAAAGCCCAATTTTGGCAACCTGTGTACAACTGGTGATAAATCAATTGTTCCAGATTTAATATTATTGACCTGTAAAAATCAGTGAGATAAAACCAAAAGGAATCTTACATAATCAATTTAAATCTATCAAGAAAAACAATACAACTTGTATTGATGTTCTGATACAGGATGTTACAACATCTGTTAGAACATTTGTCTTCAAATGAACCTGACCAGCATGTTAGAACACCTTCTATAACATCATGCTGCAAACCATATTTTAGCAAAAATTATGCAAATCATAAAACCATGGTATTAACACATTTGATTCGAATTAATATATGTACTTGATTCATATCACATGAGATTGTGATTTGAATCATGTGTATTTTGTGACTCGAATCATTTCAAACAGAAACTTTTCCCATATTTTACACAGCTCATGATTCGAATAATATATATGCTTTACTCGAATTAATTCACTGAAATTTCAAATTTGATAACTTTAACTTGTGATTCATGTTACGCCTATGGAAATGACAAGAAAGTAGTATCATAGACTCAAAAATAGAATACTAGAATACTATCAAGGATTAAAGTAGATTTATTTCATGAAATAAAGAGGGTATTATTGGTACAAGTTTCTAAAAGTTGAAGCAATTACAAAAATAAAAGGTTACAAGCACAATGAACAAATACTGAATTCAAATTACAAATACGCAAATTAAATATGATAAACAATAATCAAATGACAAAGCATCAAAACAAAAATGATACTTAAGGAAAAAAAGGTACCACATGATACTTACTACTTTCAGGTATCCCTCTATTTCACCTTAAAAGAGAACCCTTTGACTAAGGGCTAGGAAAAATAACATAAAATATCATTTTAAAGATATGTAAAAGGTACCACATGATACTTATTGCTTTCAGGTATCCCTCTATGTGTAGAATATATATGTAAACGATTTTGATGATGACAAAGAGAATAAAGAAAAATCATAAACATCATCAGAAAAAGATTAAACTTTGAAGCAAATCAAAAACCGAAAATTTTATGGTGGCTAGTGCTAAAGTGTTAAAAGATAAAGAAGTTCACAAAATAAGGTCATTTGCTAAAAGATTGCATGTGATCCTGTCCTCTATTATTTATTTGTTTTTATAAGATCAAATATAATATAAGTGTTTGCTCTCGAATAGTTAAGGCTGTGTCACACACACACACACTACAATCTATTTTCAAACTTCTTATGTTTTCAAGAAACCACTTCTTAAAACATCTTGATTTTAGAAAAGCTTTTGAAAGTTGATGGTTAATTGATTATAATCCTTAGTTAGTTGATTCTAAAGTGAAAATTCTCTCTTATCAATTACGCACTTGTGTAAACGACTATGGGTTAAACTCGTTCAATAATCTAATAAGAAAGACTTTTAATCGACTATGGCTTAGATCTAACAAAAAAATTCTTATTTTTCTAGGTCATAATCGGTAATGGACGCAACCTAATCAATTATGATGTAGATTCAACCCTAAAAACCTTTCTTGAATTGTTATATTTGACAGTTGTTCCATTTTACTGGCTAAATTAGGTAAAATAACATAATTACAATATGTATTTTTTGTAGAGGCAACATGCGGGACAAGATGTTCCAGCATGTGTGCACAACATCCCGCCTCAATCTGTAGGCCAAGATTTGTGAGTGAATTTGGGTGCATTGGTGTTCGATTCCTAGAATATTTTTTGCTGTATCTTTTACCAAATATTATTCAATAAGATTTACTAAAGATATTTTATTAATCTATAAGTTTGAAGAATATTTAATTAGATATCGATTAATTACAAATATTTGGAGTTGGTCTATATAAGAAAATTTGATTGGATTTGCATTAAAGAAAAGATTTATTTGGATATACTTTGAAGGAAGGTTTGTTTCAGATTCAGTTTATTCAAAGATGCATATGCAAATATATTGATTGAATATTTATATTCCATGAAAAGATCTTATTGAATTTGTTTTTAATTACAAGATTTAGAATTCCACTTAATGATAAAATATCCAATCTTTATTCAAGATGATTTGATATATATCTTGCAAACTATTTTTTCTAGTATACAATGTCCCACACATTGGTTCCAACATTTGTCCCTACATGAACATTATTTCAATTGGTATCAAAGAAGATACCCTATTCTGTTTGGGTGTGTTCCAGGGTTCTTATTCTGTTCAAGATGGAGAATTTCATAAAAGGATGAGTATTTCATTGACCAAAGGTTCTTTAAGGCATTTAGAATCCCCCAAAGAATATAGTTGCAGACAATTATGAAAATTGTGAAGACCAAGTAAATTATGACACTAAACAAAATACCAGGCTTACTAATATCTATAGTAAATTCATGAGAAACTAGATATCATACCTGGGAATAATGTCTCTACAAATGTTCAAGATAATCAACAACAATAAGTGTAACTTTCAGCATAAAGGAAAGTATGGTGAAAAACTAAATCTCAACTATTATTACAAAGGCAAAGGTATCCAATGTCTTAAATGCAAATATTTTGGACATATTCAAGATGAATGCTCAAGCTTTAAAAGGATACAAAGAAAAATATACCATGTCACTAAGGATAAAATAGTGTAAAAAGGTGGATTTGATCAATCAAACAATGTTGTGACTTTCAAAGACATGAAAGAGGTTATACATACCGGTGATCCATCAAATTCAAAATTTTTGTGTATTACTCCTATTCTGAAAACATAATGTAGAATGTCAGGTAACATGAACTAACATCCTGTCAAATATGATTACTAGTGCACTAATTTTTGTCTACTCCATTCCATTATAATATTATAAATTGTATGGTAGACAACAACATCATTAAAATATGTATCCTCGGTGGAATGAGAAGTCTGAAAGACATCATCAATAAGTTTGGAATATAAATCCTAATATTCTTGTTCATATTGTTTGTTCCTCCCATAAGATATTTTCTTTTGAAGATTTTCATTTTGACAGTAGTTGCAATAGACAATTTATAGGAGAAATAAATTATGTTATATGTTTTGATAGCAACAAGTGAAATAAATTTGTAAAGATGAAAATGGTTGTTGCCACTGTAGAGAAGAATTTTGAAGATCATGTTTCAGACATCATGGATGACATTGTAGATATAGAAACTAAGTTGTGGTACATAAAGCTTGGGGGTTGTTGTAGATAAAGTTGTCATATGTATACTGATCTCAAATTTGAAGAAGGTAAAATTTATGAGCAATATCAAGTTGGAAAGAAAACCAAGATGTCATATAAGATATTTCAACATCTTATTCATGTTTCTGAGTTACAAATTATGGACTTTATGAGACTCATGCAAGGATTTGTCATTGAAGGGAAGGATAATAGTCAGGCTGGAGGTCCCCCCAACATGGAACAACAAACATTGGTTCAGAAGAAGAAGCTAAAGAAGATTAATGATCATGGCATAATTCATTCTATTGGGGTTCCTTCTCATATTTCTGTAATTTTCACTATTCAAAAACATAATATTGTGTTTGGTGAAGCTGATATAGATGTTCCTCTTGGTTTGTTGAATTTTAGTTATAAGTTGTATGTTAGGAAACATGTCCCAAACATTGCTCCCCACAATATTCCACATTTTAACAAGTCTGATCTAGTTGTTGGTGGAAATGTGCATGATGTCCCACTCATTTATGGGGCTATAAGAAACCATCATATCATTCAAAAGTCATTTGCTAATGAGTCCTAGTAAACCAATATGGGAAATCAAGATGTTTATAAAGATGTGTCAGACTTTCTGTCTGGCATGTTGGAGACATAGTCTCAAATTCATAAGGAGAATAATGATGTGATCCCTGAGAATAATTTTGTGAGTAATGAGTATCATGTCCATGAAGATGTTGAGGTTGATACTATTGTAGCCCAAGATGGTGTTGTTAATAACAATAATAAGAAAATAAGATATGCATCGAAAGTAAATAAGGATCATGCAGCAGAAGATGTGGAGAAAGATGTTAATACATTGTGTGGAGACATGGTAAGTAGTGATGAAATCATATTTCTAGGGTGTTCTATTAATAGAAAGGTACATAGATTGTTTACCAAGGGCACACAATCTATAGGTGTCATTGTTAATTATGTTCAAACTAAAATGAATCCCCGTGAAGATGAAGATTTTGATATCATTGGTCTTGAAGTGGAGCAAGTTATTGCTGACAAAATATGAAACATCATTCTGTTTGTCGAAGAAGATAATAATTTATATGATGCTGAAACTTTTGCTCATATTTCCAATATTGGAGCCATCATATTGTTACTTGAATTTTCATGTATTGTGAAGTTCAAACTTTATCATATGGATGTGAAATGTGACTTCATCAATAGGTACTTGAATGTGGAAGTCAGTATGGATGCTCCTTCTGATATTAAAAACATGGAAGGTGTCAATGTGGAAGACAATGAGAATCTAACCATAGTTCACATTTATGTTAAAGATACTATGTTTTATAGGATGTCAAGTAAGATGTTAGAACATTTTTCTCAAAAAAGGAGAGTTGAATTTCACTTGAGCATGGTATGAGATGTTACCAACTTTCCCGATTTTCAAGTGAAGAAACTGAATGACTGCTCCTTTGATACCCAAAGTATATATGATAGAAGTAGTTACAATCAAATATTATAAAGTAACCAAATGCTCAAATATGTCACTAAAGATGGTAATGAAGATGTCAGCCTAAATGTTCCAGATAACCTGTATGACATGTTGGTGACTGAATAAGTGAATTTGAGACTGATGATGAAGAAGATATTCGGGACATTATACTCACTATAAAGAGAATGGTTGGTTTGATATGATTTTCATATATCATTATGCTTCTTCTATATATACTCTGATATGGAATATTATGATATGAAGTATGGTTCAGTTTTAGCATGAGATTTATTCTGAATCATTTACTTGAGAAGTTGTAATTGTGATTTATATCAAGTAAAATTTTTATTTGATTTGCTCAAGATTCAAGATATTGTCACGTGGACAGATGTTGGACCAAATGTTGAAGCGACTTGTAAGACATCTATCTCAGACTGATTTGTATCAATCAGGGATCTCAATCTTCATAATAAAGATTTGATTAATTATGTAAGTTTTTGAAGGATGTAATTTAAATATTTTTAAGATTGATTATGTAAGTTATTGAAGATTGATCTCACGTGATTTTAGAAGATCATCCATATTCAATGAAGATTTTGAAAATATTTGGAACTGGACTTTATGCTGCTATATAAGGTGGAAATCTCATTTATGAAGACTTAGAGCTTAAGAAAAAAAGATCTACTCTTTTGGAGATTTTTTTAGTGAAGTATTTATTTTTGTTATTATACTTTGTTCCTAGATATTAATTCTAGCAGCTTGAGAACAAAGTATTTGTGTGAGTTTAGTTGTTTCATCTATCCATCATATTGTAATTGTCCAAAAAAAAAAGAGTGTTTGAGTGAAAGTGAGAGGGTTCTCATATTTTGGGGGAGTCTAAATGAGTCTTCACAGATAGTATTAGGAAAGTGGACTTGAATTAGGAGAGTTGAGAGTATGCCCAATTTCCCTTCTAACTATTGGGAATAGAGTCGTTCTAAGGGAAGTCCTAAATTGAAAGGCACAAGTAGTATTAAGAAGAGGGGCATTGAACAAGTGGTTATTTATCTAAGACCCTTTGTACTAATACTATTGATAACATATTTCCTTTCTTTGGTTGGAAGCCCCCCAGATGTTGGTGAAGTTGCACTAAATTGTGTTACCAATTCTCTTGTGTTCTTTCTTGATTTAATTATTATTTTCTATCTATCTTACAAACTGCTTTTTCTGGTATACAATGTCCCACACATTGGATCCGACATCTATCTCTGCTTGAACAAAATTTCAATTTACTATAAAAGGAGGACTTAAGTATATTTATATTTTGTAAATCGATGCAGATATGCAATTGTAAAACAAGAGAGGTGGTTCTCTTAACTCTGATATATTAATAGAAAAATTTCAAGTTGGACCTAAGATAAAATCTTGGTGTGAGTAAGTTGTGGGATGATCAAGTTGTAAAAGTTTTGTAATTGTTGAAATCTCATGGGCCAATCTTTGGGGTATGGATGTAGGCCTCGTGGTTTTAGATCGAACCAATATAAAAACAGATGTGTTCTTCTTAAATCTTTCATATATTTATTTTTATTTCTTTATTTACTTATAATTATTTTCATCTTTTATATATATATATATATATATATATATATATATATATATATATATATATATATATATATATATATATATATATATATATATATATATATATATATATATATATATATATATATATATTAAAATCAACATTAAATAATGATTTAATTTTTAAAGTTTTTAAAAACTTTTCATATCACATTTCATCCCCTTTTTCGTTTGAAGTCACTTTGCAACAACCTACACCCAAGAGATCCTCGTCGGAGAAGCAATTCCACAAACATGGTATACGTTGAAGTTCAAAGTGTTTCACAACTAGTTAACAATTTAATATTGTAAGGCTGGAATTGTATTAATACAAGTACATTATTCCAGTATCTCCTTTTCTTTTTGTCTTTAAAATTCCATACTATTACAAGGAACAAAATGGATAAACCATTTTCCCATAGAAACAAGGACAAAGGCCTTGAACGAATTCTAGAAAGATGGAAAATACGAGAGCCTCACCCAAAACAGCTAGCAACCATTGAGACAAACAATCTCTCCAAGCAATCCACTGTTTCGTTAATTATAAAAGGGTTAAATATACGATGCCTCCCTATCAATAGAGCGAGTTTTGATTTTTTTTCCCTGAAGTTTTTTTTTGTGATTCCCTCCTTGTAAAACAAAGATTCTATTTCCAGACACCCCTATTTCATGTTTGGATGACTGGGCTTGAGGAATCTTCCTAGGTGGCATTACTTTTGCTGATTGTGTATTAATTTTTTTATTTATATAATGACATGTCAATATTCTTTGAAATTCATATGAAAAAATCTCAAAAAATTGCCCCTCCAAGGATTTAAACCCAGAAACCTTCCCACATTCATCAAACATCCAACCACTGCGCCATCAGCTTTGTTGTTGCCAATCATTACCTCAAAATTAATTAATATCAAAATTATTTAATCTTCTTCTCCAATTTCAAATCCCTAATCTACCTTTCATCTTTTTCACCAAATTATATAAATTGTGCAAATTGAAACATTCAACATATCAGGGTTTTATGCCTCGGAGCAGGAAATGTTGTCAATCTATGTTGTGGGAAGGATCTCTGGATGCACAGTAGATATTGGTCCATTGCTAGCAATTTCATATTCATTTGCCCTGCATATTGTATATGGTATACCCCATCATTTTTATTAATTATTTATTTGTTTGTTTGCAATGAAACTAAATGTTTCAAGATTTTTAGAATTTCTGAATTTGTTAAGTAAACAAGAAAGTTATAGTGAAAGGGTTTTAAAAAAATAAAAGTAAACTAGTTTAAGTTTCATATTTCAATTTTATATTTTTTGGTATTGTCTATTTATCAATTTAAATGACAGATACAACACTCTTATCATGCAAATATATTATTTATGATATAAAATTATCTTCACATGGTGGTAACTTGTAAGACAAATAGTTCTGATGTGCTTTCTTTATATTGTGGTTCAAGTAGCCATTCTAACGAAGTTCTAATACCTAATGTTTGTTAAATGAATGGATGACTGAGTGGTTTTCTTTCAATTTTAGTATGCTCTTGATATTCTTGGTTGTTCTGTCTAACTTTATCTTATTTGGATTTTGTAACCAGATATTTGCACCAGTTTAATGTGAGTTATAATAGGTTGTCTGGTCAGATACCACAGGGTTATGAATTGTAGAAGAGGTTTGATGTTTATGCTTATTTTCACAACAAGACTTTATGTGGCTCACCACTTCCGCCATGCAAAAAGTGATTAAGGAGATGGCTTAGCTATGTTATAAGTGAATTTCATGTATGCTTTAATAAAAAAGGGTTAAATGTATAAAATTCATGAGCAAACAAATCAATTAGCATGGTGCAGTGGTAAGGAGTGTTTCTATTGAGTGAAAAAACCTGTGTTTGATTCCCATAGGAATCAGTTTTTTGAGAAGATTTTTCTATCTTTACAAAGAATATTGACAAGTCATTATATAAATAAAATAAATTAATACACAGTCAGCAAAAGTAATTCCACCTAGGAATATTCCCCACGCGTAGTCATCCAAACATGAAATAGGGGGTTCTGCAAACGGAATCTTCGTTTTATAGGGGTGGATCACAAAAAAAAATACTTCAAGGGGGAAATCAAAACTCGCCCTCTTGGTAGGGGGTCTTATATTTAACACATTATAAAACCAAGAAAGGGGTGGAGCATATGCAACATTGGCTGGGAATACACTTGCAAGCACATACATGCATTACGTAAAGCAAAGAAATAATATAGTACATATATGATACAAAATAACTTCAAGAGAAACTCCATAACATAATATTCAAAATCACAAATAAAGGTTAGGATATAATCCTTGGGCCATAAAGAAAATGAAGAAAATGAAGAGAATCAAGGAGAATCAGCAGGGATGATAACCAACTTCCTGTCAACAATAGACTTCTCAAGGTTGGCTTCTTCGACATTCATACAAACCTCAAGAATTAGAAGGAAAAAAACATAATGGACCTTGTGATCGGTGGATCTGGAATTGACTGTTTAACGCTGGCTCGCGAAATGTCGCGGAAGCAAGAGTCGCCACCGTCTTTTATTTTCTCCAAATGGAAAGGACAAAAGCACAGAAAAATTCCTTATAGAGATTGCTCTCGGTTCGGGAGGTAGATTATAGAAAGGGAAGGTGTTAGCACCCTTTCTATCCATGGTTATCCATGGGCTCTTAGATACTTGCTCATTGTGTTTTCGAAATGGTTTGTCTGCTTTTCAACTGTGGGTTTTAAAAAGTTTCTTTGAAAATTCCAGTTCGACTCTTGTATCGGTCCTCAAGAGTGTTTGAAAAATTGCTTTCGAAAGCTTTTTGAAAAGGTGTCGGTGTGAAAAGTGTTTTTGATTTGTTTTGAAATTAGAGCAAGTATCTAGAGTCGTCTACCTACCCTAAGGAATTCGTCTGTGTAAATGTCCTTTAAAGTAGTGCCATCCCACCATCGAGGGGTAGGTAGCACC